CGCTTGTTTTAGCTAGTGGCCCCCTGATCTCAAACTAATTACCTCTTTTTCATTTTGATACTTCCTATAAGTCGTGCAATTTGCCTCTGATATGATCCTGTAGATTTTCCACAGGCTTCACCTGTACCACATTTATGAGTTCCACACCTGATAACAACATTCACACACCCAGGCATTCAAATATGTTATTTCCATCCACTCCTGGCCGCAGTTTGTAATAAAACAAATACAAGTCTGGTATGCAACAACCCAGTGTCCAGACTTGTCCTTGCCTCATACAACAGCGCCCCCTTCCGGTCAGGATACGGAAGCACCGATCACACAAGACACCTCTGACGCAGAAAGTAAGACAAACCAAAGCACGCGTAAACCTTCACCTCCTCGTGTTTGGAACAAAGAAATGCTCCCTTCCCCCCACACGAGTGCTTTACCACACAAACACACACACGGAAAAAAAAAAAAAAAGAGAGAAAAGTAACCGTTCGCTTCGCCCCCACACACTCTATTGTTACGTCTCCCTTCGGTTCCCCCGGCCTTGGAGCCTTCACACGACATACAAAACACGGCGCAAACAAAAGTTATAACAACGTCCTAAAACTAATGCGATCCCTGATCACATGAAATTTGGTAAATCTACCTAAAGTCCCCGACTATTCACATTTCCCTTCGAACTAAACTATTGATTGAGTGCAATTTAACATCCAGTCAACAAATGTAGTGGAACACCCGCACCACAGCTCATCAAGTCCCCGACTTGATTACACCTTAATCCCGTCAGATTAAGGTTTTGTTCGCCACCTCCGCTGATAACCAAAGGGAAACGTGTCGCTCACGTTGTCCGACGTGAACTCCCGGCAGGCCTCGCCTTCCTCCGGCCACAAGTGAAACTTGTGAATCTAACTAAACACTACCTAAACGTAAAAGAAAGCGTTCGGTGCTTAAACTGTCTGAATATCGTAACTCACCTTGTCAGAATTAACACGAATCACCGGAAGTTAGCTTAAATGAAAACATCTTTATTTTCCGGAGATGGCCGCATGCACACGAACAGAGGAAGTTGAATTTAGTTTTAATTTGGTTTACAGACGAAAAGCCAGTCCACCGGACATTAACGTCCAAATATGTAACCAGCTTACCTGAAAGTAATGGGCCCAGTTCCTCTCTCTGTGTGTGCACCGCAAGCCACCTCGATCCAATTCAGTCTAGGCCGCGTCGCCTCGCTGCACGTCGGGTCACCATTTGTTGTGGCTAGAGTACCACGTCGTGTTCAAAACGGCTGAGGCGTCGCCCTTCGTATAAAAGATTTATTTGACACAACATGGGTTACAGATATTCAGAGACAAACAATTACATTAATAAGATATATGCATATAAATGGAGCATTAAGAACGAACCGTCGCCGTGTGCGCCTCCCAGAAATGCTCGGTGGGCGTGTGTCATTTCCGGCCTTTTATCCCCGTTTGAGAAGGCTAGCTTCCTGATTGGTTCAGCTTCTGTCGCTATGGT